GCCGAAATTTTCTTATAGTTGACATGTCGCAGAGTGATGTTATTGTTCAGTGAGGTTCTTGAAGCTGAATGTTTTTACAGTTAACAGTAAGTGAATGGCCGCCGACATGTTTGGGGCCACTTCGTCTCGCTGGACATATGGATACACGTTGGCTAAGTGTTACTGCACGTATCTATCTTCGGGGATTGTGCAAGAAGGCACAGTCGTTGATGGCTTCATTCGGCAAAGGGGAAAGCGATCGTAGCGTGATGCTGTATGACCAGAATAAGTGCTGCTTGAACGATAAATTCGCCGAATACATTAAGGCCAGTAGGTAACTAATGCTAAAAAATGACGTATGAACTAACTAAAAGATTATTTCGTATGTATTCGGTCTATTTCGTATGTATTTCGTTTTATCTGTGGAACTGGTGAATGCTCTGTAAAACAACCTCTGCCTTTTAGATGCTTTTTTTTAGCTTTGTTTCTTCGCGTGTCTTCATGTTCTGTAACTTGCTGTATACAACACTTTTATTCTCTTGAGATGTCACCCCGGAAAAATGCATTAAGGCATCCATTTTGAATCCAGTACAAAAGAAGTCTCGCTCTCGAGACTCCCAGTTCCCGCTTTCCCTCGTTTTTCGTTCTTTCTGCTTCTCTCAAAACTTTTTGAGGCTTATGTGGCAGGAATGCTCTATAAAACAACCTCTGCCTTTCAGATGCTTTTTTAGCTTTGTTTCTTCACGTTCTTCACGTGTTTCATCACGTAAAACAACCTCTGTAACTTGCTGTATGCAATTTTGCGATGTAGCAGACATTTTTCGCGATTTGCCACACAGTGGGATCTCAGATTAATGGTGTTGCTGGGCTGCCCCATATGCAGATTCCTTTGATCGTGGTATGTATGCTTCCAACTGTCACCTGTTGCTTATCCGGGGTGCGTTGCCTATCATTTGCTGAAGTGCTTGCTCATTCAAAGACGGGTTTTGAAATTTTCACGTTTGGCATGTTGTATTCTTGTAAATAAGTGCATCAGTGTTCACTTTTTTGTGCTTTGATTGTATGTGCTTGTGAAGTATTTTTTTAAAGATGTTTTATTTATCAGTAAACTCTTCATCCAGCACCTCATCGGAATGCATCAAGAAATTTTGATATGAACGAAGTGAGTCTCTGC